AGAGCTCCTTTCTTTGTCATCTAGTTTCATTATATTTCCAAAAGTTGTCATTTCTAACTTTTTATTTTCCATTTTGGGATATCATTTAAAGTTTGTATTCTGTATCACTGAATTTAATTTGTCATAATTGTTTTTTTGGGATTTTTGTGACAGAGTCTCTGTTGCCTGGGCTAGAGTGCCGTGGCATCAACCTAGCCTACAGCAACGTCAAACTCCTGGGCTCCAGCTATCCTCCTGCCTCAGCCTCCCAAGTAGCTAGGACTACAGGCATATGCCACCATGCCCGGCTAATTTTTTCTATATATATTTTTAGTTGGCCAATCAACTTCTTTCTATTTTTAGTAGAGACGGGGTCTCACTCTTGCTCAGGCTAGTCTCGAACTCCTGACCTTGAGCCATCTGCCTGCCTCGGCCTCCCAGAGCTAGGATTACAGGTGTGAGCCACTGCGCCTGGCCTGTCATAATGTTTTTACCCTTGTTTCTCTCAGTATGATTTTAATTCTAAATTATTTTTCATCTTTTCATCTTGGTCTGTCCTTTAACTTTCTATTTCAAATATAAGAAACTTTATAGTCCACTGATGTCAAGTAGTTTTCTAAAATTTTGTTCATGATTCCTATTTTTATATGACATTCTTCTTTTTTAATCATCAAAATGCTGTTCCCCAGGATTGTCTGCCAAAAGATAATGGATGTAGATTGTCCACAGCCCCACATTTTTCTTATCTTGAAGGGTTAATGGGTCATCTCTGATCTGTAGCTGTACATGTTCTTATATACCTCTCTGACCTCAGTTTCCAGTGTCTTTAGTGGGGTGTTCTTCTATTGCCTGGTTGTGTGCTATTCTGAAGAGGTGAGTGTGTAGAAAAACAACAGCTTCAGATATTCACTGTTAGTCGAGGTCCTTAACATCTTGTCCCATAGTCAGTGTGTTACATGGGGTGTCTCCCCTTTACCCTCCTTCCCTGTCTGGATGCAGTTCACCACTACCAACTCTTCTTCACTTCTTGCCAAGTTTTCATCTGGGAAATTTAGTCTCTGACTAGGTCAAGAAGTAGTAGTAATGGGGATAAAAGGGACAGCAGGAAATATCTGAAAAACAGCACTCAAACAATAAAAAAACAGCTGCTTGATTTTTCTCTTAGTATCTGGCTTTTTGCTAGTATGTTTCCGATCCAGAAGAAAATAGATTGTGAGAGAGGAGCTAAGATCTCTTTACTTACATGTGGCTTCCTCTCCCTCCCTCCCTTCCTCTCCCTCCCTCCCTCCCTTTCTCTCTCTCTCTCTCTCTCTCACAGAGTAACTGGTTGGTATTTTTCTTTTCTGTTGTAGTACCTTAATTTATTCATTCATTCTTTCAGCCAATACTTAAGTTCTTATTATGTGCCAGGCACTTTGCTAGGTACTGGTTATATATAATGTTGAATAAAACAGAGTGTTTCTTACTTCATTGATGGCAGAAATAGTTTCTGGATTCTATCAGTAACACATTTTGGTGATGGTATGATGTTTTATTTCCTTCTTTTTTCAAAATAAATATTTTCTGGCAAGTTAAGAAAGGCTGTATTAATAACTACAGTCAAGATACCAGTTTAACTTCTTTCTCCATATGAAAATTTTAAAATTGTTCTAGATCCAGGAATAATTTTATGAATACAGTTTTCATTATTGTAACCCTTTTTTAAAAGTTTTATTTTTAATTGACAAATAATTGTATATATTTGTGAGGTACAGTGTGATGTTTTGATAAATGTATAGGAATGATCAAATCAGGCTAACATATCTGTAGTCTCAAGAATTTATCATTTTTTTTTTTTTATCTTGAGAACATCTGAAGTTTTCTTTTAGCTCTTTTGAAATATACAATACAGGCAGTCCCTGGGTTATGGATGACCTGACTTATGGTGTTCCATACTTTTGAATGGGCTCCCAAGGCTCCCCATAAGGATAATTTATAATTAACACATTACTATATAAACCCATGATAGTTTTTAGCCCAGGGCCTTATGAAGCATATGTAACTCACGTCTCCACACCTTGGGAACTGTGAGAACTATTTTTCAAGTTGCATATAACACACACAAAACAATAAAAAATAACAAATTTTTCATAAAATTAGAAAGGATCTTTTTTTTCCCCGAAGTTTTTATTCTATTTTTATAATAAGATACCGTGGCCCCTGGGAAAAATTTTTTTTTGTAGTGTGGCAGTTGATGTGTTAAATTAATAATTCAGGAACTGGTATCTTCCACGCATGTAGACATACCTGCATGGTGTGAGTAGTAGCGGCTAGTCTCATTGTTTATATAGTCCCTTATGACAGCATCACTTTTGTCTTAACTTTTTTATTTGATTTTGTGAGTTTGTATTTACCTTTGTGACCATGCCTCCAAAGTGAAAGTCCGCTACTAGTTTAGATGAGTCTGCAGCCAAGAGAAAGGTTATGACAATGAAATATAAGTAGAAATGTGCGTTCGGAGAGAGCCCAGACGCCATAATTCATTGGGGGAGCATTAGGCTTCAGTGGCTTCACTGTGGGAGCAATTATAAAGTGAGAATAATGGAACACGTGAAAGGCAGTGCTCCAATGAAAGCATCAGTTATTACTAAGCAGTGTAGTAGATTCATTCTTGAAATGGAAAGGTTATTACTGATTTGGTTAGAAGATCAAAATATGCATGACATTCACTTTAGCCTAGCATTGATGCAACATTAGGTGAGTGTTAACCTTTAATATTCTTTTTTGAAATTTCTCCTGTCTAAATTTTTTGTATGAGTTTGGTTTTATGTTTTGTTTGAATTAAAAGAAAGAGCACAATAGATTCTGTAACTTATCATTACAAGGGTATTACAAGGGTATTATTATAAGGGTATTATTACAGTATTACATATGTTACTATTATATATGAGCCATTATAGTGTTGTTGTTGTTATAATTATTATTATTATTACCGTAAATGCACTTTTCATCACGTATCTGAGTTACATAGAAATCCGACCTAAAGATGTTCTCAGGAACATATCCATAACCTAGAGACTGCCTGTACATTATTATTAACTATAGTTACTGTGATGCATACTAGATGATTAGAACTTATTCCTGCCATTTAACTGGAACTTTGTCCTAACGTTTAACTGAAACTTTGTCCTAACCTTAAAGTATGACTTCCTCAAAACCTGTCATCACAACTAACTTACTATTGTCCTCACCTTTTTCTTTATCTTTCTTAATTTTCTTTTTTTTTTTTTTTTTTTTTGAGACAGAGTCTCGCTTTGTTGTCCAGGCTAGAGTGAGTGCCATGGCGTCAGCCTAGCTCACAGCAACCTCAAACTCCTGGGCTCGAGCGATCCTTCTGCCTCAGCCTCCCAAGTAGCTGGGACTACAGGCATGCGCCACCATGCCTGGCTAATTTTTTCTATATATATCAGTTGGCCAATTAATTTCTTTCTATTTATAGTAGAGACGGGGTCTCGCTCTTGCTCAGGCTGGTTTTGAACTCCTGACCTTGAGCAATCCGCCCGCCTCGGCCTCCCAAGAGCTAGGATTACAGGCGTGAGCCACCGTGCCCGGCCAATCTTTCTTAATTTTCTTAGTTAAATGAATAAAATTATCACTAAAATTAGGTTTTATTTGAAGACTTCAGTAGATGCTTTGGTCTAATAGTACTTTAGCAAGCCTCAGTAGTGTTTTCATTTGGCAGTTTTCATTCTGAAATATTTTACCTATTTGAAAGGTAAACAATAAAGCTACATTAGGTGGTAATAGATTAAGAATTTGGTGTTTTTTCAGCTTTATTGCCTGGCATTTATAATTAACAAAATTTGAGGGACTTGATTTTTCTCACTACTTTGCATAAAAGTAAACAGGAAATTTTTCTGTGTGATTTTATTTTAAAAAAACTGAAAAAAAACAAAAAATGTATTCTAGAACCTTTTATACTTAATACTTCCAGTAAATACTATGAGTTTTTAAGCAAAACAAAACTACAGCATTTAGCATATAAATAGAAGGACAAAGTACATATAAGTGTGGGATGTAATGAGTAAAGCAGTTGTTTAATTTCAGTAAGACCATAAAAGGGAGAGAGAATTTTGGTTTAGATATTGAAAAGGAAACTTTAAGCAAAACAGGCCTGTTAATTATAAGTCACATCTCATTGTAATTTCCCAGACTGCCTAGTATTAAAAAATAAGAAATGTTCTATGTGTATTAATTGGGGTAGAATCACATTTATAAGATTGTAGGCATCTTGAGGGTAAGAACTTTATGTAAGTTGCTTTGTCAGTTAAATGTTATAGTCAAAAGATGTTTGTTTCTTTTCACAAGAAGATAGTATTCTTAAGGAGAAACTTAGTATCTTCTGTGTTAAGACTAATAGTAATATTTGTTTTAAAAGTATTGGTCAGGATTTTGGAAGTATTTTCACGTTGACTACACCTGTCTTAACTAGTTTGTTCACACCTGGGGCAATTGTGTTAAATTTGTTGTTGTGTAGAGGGAGGAAACAACTTCATTAGGTGAAGTGCAGAGTATGTTGTTCACAGCTCTTTCATCTAGGGATTAGAAGTCGTCTTCCCTCTTCTCCCTCCACTGTACCTATGAATCTGCAAAGCGATCCCATAGCCCTAATCTACATGCTATCTTTAGCTGAAAATCAAGCTCAGAGAATTTGCTGTTTGTGTTGATCCTTCAGTTAATTGTGCTAGTCCAACAGCATTTTACATACAAATGTGGTAATGTGGGGCTAATTGGTACATTAGAGTGATTTTGTGGCTCAGGTAAATTAACATTGCTAAAAGACTTAAGCTTTGTGCCCATTAGAAACTAACGTGAGTGCTAAGTTTTATCTGTTTTCTTTAGGTCTGAAATTTGCGAATGTCTTTTGATTGTTTTATAACCAAATAAAAGGATACTTGACATGTTTTTCTAAAACTCTTTTAAAACAGTCAAGTTTAAACTCATAAACTTTGTGTATTTATAATAATTGTACTTATTCCTAGGGGCCACCTACAGATGCTCCTGCAGTGGACACAGCAGAACAAGTCTACATCTCTTCCCTGGCACTGTTAAAAGTAAGTAATGAATATAGTTACTTGCTTAGAGAGCTCTGTGGCTTTCACTGCATCTTTTGCTTAGAATATTTGTCACTTTAATCCTTTCAAACATAAGCCATTGTTTTAGGTGCATTTCTAAAATAGAGTGTTTTATTTCCTCCGAAACAAAATTAGTTGGGTTTTTTTTTTTTTAAAAGAGGGACCAAAGAGCTCAAAGATACATTCTTCTTTGCCCACATATCTTCCTCTTTACAGATGTTAAAACATGGCCGTGCTGGAGTTCCAATGGAAGTTATGGGTCTGATGCTTGGAGAATTTGTTGATGATTACACGGTCAGAGTGATTGATGTGTTTGCTATGCCACAGTCAGGAACAGTGAGTACTTTTTGCTTGCTTGCTGCAAGTAACTGTGCTTCTTTCTGTTTTTTTTTTTTTTTTATATGCAAAATAACTTTAATCATATGTTTTCTCTTTCCAGTAGGAAAAATTAATCATAAAATTAATGATAGAAATTTTTAGATTATATGGAATTAAATCATTAATCTTTTAAATGCATCATGAATTGTATGTCTACAAACTTAATGATGCTAATATTAAATCCTTTTACTCATTCCTTCAGCTTTAACTAGCATAACATACTAGATTTAAAAGTTATTTACCTATAATAGCAGGGTATGAGTTTGATTAGTTTGAACACTTGGTTCAAATGATTTCAGAGATTGTCTTATTTAGATTTTTTAATTTACATACACTAATTTAGTTCTTATGTTTGGTTTTCATTGTTTAGAAATATGCCCTTTTAAAAAATATTCCTGTATATGATGAATGATTTGGAAGCTTTTCCTATTAAAAATGTTAAGTTGCAAAAAATACTGAAAAACTATAGTGAACCATAGTTCTTTTTGCCCAGGCATGGTAATTTGTTAATATGAATCATATTCCATACAGATTTTGAAAGGCATCTACTCTATATGTTTAGAATACATTATTCTTTCTAGAGGTTTTTGTTTTGTTTTACCTTTTTGTTTAATGCATTGGACTTGTGTAGATAAATGTACATTTAGATGGCCAAAAAACAATAACCATTCTATCTACCTTACAAAAAAATAGTACATATATCATGTGTACCTGCTTGCCTAGAAAAATATAATGTGTATATTTTTCTGATAGATGCTTTTTTATTTGATGTGCAACATTTCAGTTATTGAGCCTTGTAAAATATTTGGCTTAAAGAAATTGTTCTTATAAAGCTGTTTGCTTTATTTGAGGCTCCTTAATGTAAGTTTATTTAGGTACTAAAGGACAAATTATATTTTTAAATAATGCAATATATATGTGTGTGTATATCTATATAAAGTAAGCATCTTAAATAGACTAGTTGTTACAGAATGCATTGTATTTACAAATAATGTAAAATATGGGAAAATATACAAATTTTTCTTTAAATAGATGAGTTTGTTTAGGTAAACTAATTAGGATCTACTGATTTTGTCCACCTGGATATCCATTATATTTATTTTGTACATTTGGAAATAGAGAAACAGTCTGTATATTAACTAAAGATTTAGATTTAAATCTTAGACTATTATTACTTGTATAGCTTTTCATATCAAAATATATAAAACACATAATAAAATTAACTTATTGCATGTGGTCCTTATATAGATATTCACTATAATAAATGGTCCGTAGGCTTTAATATCATTACTTCCACGTAAATTTTTTTTGACAATATAAAATGGAAGATTTTGATCCCTATATTTACTCCATATAGTAGAATTAGAAAGTTTTTCTTCTGGCCCAAGAGTTAGCAAACTTTTTATGTTAAGACATATGTCTCTGTTGCATATTCTTCTTCTTCTTTTTTAAAACATCCCCTTTAAAATGTAAGAAACCATTCTTAGCCTATAGGCAGCAGATTGCATATCCCTGTTCCCAAGGATGCACTCTCTATTGGAACTCACATATACACTGTTTGTTTTGGTGGGAAGGAAGTGCTTATGTTAACTGATTTGTTTAAGTAGATTAGATTTAGATTCCTGATGTTAAAAGAAAGCCTTATAGGAGATACAATGACTGTTGTCTGTCATTGACAGAGAGATGATACGAACCCTTTTTATTCTTCTATGTTCCACTATCTTATTTTGGTTGAACTGTCAAAATAATGCAACATTTAAGAGATATGGTTACAGTTTCTAGTGAGGAGTTTTTTGCGATTGCTTTTATATTTGAGACAATAAATTATTTTCCTTATTCAAAGTGTTTAATCATTAAAAAAAAGACTTGGGTATGTACCATTATAATAGCTGAATAGTTGTAGAACTTGGATGAGACTAGTCGTAGTCCTTATCAGTTATCATAGGATGGCAATAGGAAGTATTATTGCCCATATAGGTCTTACCAAAAGTAATAGTTAAACTACTTGGCGTTTCTGGTAAATGTATACATAATAATGGCCATAAATTCTTGAAGTATCCTGAAAGTTGTCTTAACTCATTAGCTAATACCAGTTTGGTACTTGGTCATTTTAGAAGCGTTATTGGCATAAGGTTTGTAACTCAGTGGTTCCAATGGGTATCAAATACAGTTATAAAAACCTGTAAAATGGTTTTCGTACCCTAAGATAATATTACATAGCTGGGCTTTATTTTTTTTTAGTAGCTTTTTGTTCACTTATAATATACAGTTGCTTTTTCTCAAAGTTACAAAAGCTAATCATTTTTCTTTCTTTCTAAACCAGGGTGTCAGTGTGGAGGCAGTTGATCCAGTGTTCCAAGCCAAAATGTTAGATATGTTGAAGCAGACAGGAAGGTAAGCATTTTAAATGATCATTTAAAGAAAGAAATATTTTTAGAAACATACCTCAAAGTTATGGATGTTTATTAATATCATTCCCAGGAAAAAAGGTCATGTAAAGCATCTCTTCCTTTTAGAATCAAAGAAATTTGCCAATCAGAGAACTGCCTCATATTAAAATTCTTGACTGTCACATAGTAAGCTTGGGCTGTAGCTTCCCTCTGTTTAGCATATGGAGTTACTGTCTAGTCACTTATAATTGAAAGAGCTTGTATGTTCCATGTATTTGAGAGTTGCAACTGAATGAGATTATGAATATTTAATTATGTTTGTAGGCATAGTTTTAAAGATAGACAAAGTATAATCCAAATATTCTAAAGTTTTTTTCCTCAGACTAAGTCTCTTAATAGTTGTCATTCTCTTGCTTAAATTCTTCTACTGTGGAAAAAACTTCAAAATTAATGTTAGCAAAAGGCTCAGCAGCTGAGCAGAGCAGTGCAAATTGGTTTTTGACTGAGTTCCTAGTTCTACTGCTGGTTTAATTGATATTTAATCCTTTCACAACAGTGGATCCTGGTGTCCATTGTTAAAAATGTCCTCTGTGCCTGGAAAATCCAACTCCCAGAGCTAAGGAGTTAAAGAGTAGATATTTACTTGAATGCTGAAAGGGTAAAAACTGGCTCTGAGAAAGTGTGGTAACAAGGTGAAAAACTGAAAGCCTTAGCTACCACTGCTAATGTGCATCTCTTAATGATAGCACTCCTTTGTCACACATATTCATTTCCATGTTTTCTAGATAATATGGTGTATGATTTCAGTGTTTCTAATGGTGCTTTTTCACACCTGTGTGTTTTTCATCTCTTCTTAATTTATACCCTGTTAGTGTGTTGTTTCTTTTCATATCATAAATGTATTACTTGTTCTGTTCTGAGCCTCTGAATGCCCTCTTTGTTTCAGGCCTGAGATGGTTGTTGGTTGGTATCACAGTCACCCTGGCTTTGGTTGTTGGCTTTCTGGTGTGGATATCAACACTCAGCAGAGCTTTGAAGCCTTGTCGGAGAGAGCTGTGGCAGTGGTTGTGGATCCCATTCAGAGTGTAAAAGGAAAGGTAGAGTAGATTCTATCTTTATTGCCATCTACTGACACATTCTGTTTATAGATACATTAAATAAAAATCCATTTTGTTCAAAGCAGGATTCTTAATTACACAGAAAAACCATTGTCTTTTTACTTTAAAAAACAAAAAACTGTACAAGTCAATAAATGTGTCTTGGTATTAGCAATTTAACTATTGAGATTTATTTCTACTTTAATTACCCTTTGTCTAATCATCATGAATGTTCACCTTTAAAGTTTTAAATTTCATAAAATTATGAATGTTAAACCATACTAAAAGCCGGCTAGAAATATTTCATTAATATTTTAATAAACACTGCTCTACCTTTTATTTTTAAATAGTGCATTTGGAATCAGCACAAAATTTTTAAAAATCTATTTAAAGGACTCTGTTTTGCAGACATTGTGTAGGACATATTCTGGAGATGTATTTTCCAAATATTTTAGACAATGAAAACTTGCCCCAAAGACTTGGTGTCAACCATTTGTGTGTTTGGAGTGAGGACGCAGATGAATGATTAAATATGCTAAATGATTCTGAAAAGAAATTAACTTGCAAAGCATGTTGGGTTATAGTTGTTCTTTGTTGAAATCTCTTTTGTTCTTGTTTAGTTCTCTCTCTCTCTTTTTTGTTCGTTCTTTCTTTCTTTCTTTCTTTCTTTTTTTTACTTCTTTCTTTCTAGCCCCATATGCCATTTTCCTATTTCCTGCCTCATGACAGCAGGGAGCAGCTCTATTATCACCTTCACAGAGCTGTCTGCAAATGTGAGAGGCAATTCGATTTTGCTCAACCACAGGGAGAGTGGATTAGAAAAACTACAGAACATACAGAAATTGGCTAGGTAGTTACTGCTTTAAAATACTGCTGAGGTGTCTTGTTTGAGCATGTACTTCCATTGTAGTGTAGAATAATTGTTAAAATAAAATCACAGTACATTTACGGAATCCTTTTTATGCAGGTTTTACAAATAATTCTTGGAGCACTTAGAAATAAATATTAGCTTGATATCTATCAGACCTAGAGTTTGATAGAAGTGCAGATTACATTTATATCTGCTCACCAGCTCAAACAAACTAAACATGGCTGTTAAAATATGGAGTTTTTATCTGTCATGAATTTGAAGTTGAATGTTTTCTGACATCATATTATTATAATGTATAAACAATGAGGTCCTCTCTAAATCTCTATTAGGTGTGATTTAGCTTTTCAGAAGCAGAAACTATCCACAAAAACAATAATAGAAACTGATATACTAGACTATTCAAAATGAATAGCTTCTGATTCTTGCTCTTACCTATATTTCTATTTATTTACTTTGTTTTTTACTAAGTGTATTGTTATTTAACTGATATAGATAAAAGCGGTTGAAAATCCTTGATTTTTATTAGTTTTATGAATTAAAGTACCGTATAATACCTCTTAAGTTTATTGCTTAAGAGATGCTTTAAGGTACCTTTTTAGTAACTCGTAAGTAATTCATTTAAGTAATACCTTTTATTTTAGAAATATAACAATTATATGATAAAGCACCTCCACCACAATATTTATAAGTAATAACTAAAGCTTAATTTTAAATATAATTAGTTTTATTTTGTAGTTTTAGGTGGACTTAAGTTTTTATTGTATATGACTCATGTTATGGTGGCTACTTTAAAAGGAAAATATAAGCTTAAATACAATGAAAGAAAGCATTCCCAATAAAGAATGTAATAAATTAGTTTGTATTTTATTTTTGGTTATCCTGTTTGTAATATTTAAAGTGACACTTTTAGTTTCCAAACATAGTGTGAGTACTGTATAATATTGGAATTCGCATTATTTCTATTTAATGGTAATTTATATTAAAAGAATGTTTTTCATTTAAAGAATGAATTTCATTTAAAAATACACTTGTATCACATGACTTGACAGTGTTAAATGTAGTTTTAAAAAATAGTATATCTAAAATTTGTGGAATCATATGCATTACTATCTAGTTTATATGTCATAAAAATCTTTTTGAAAAAATTTAGTATAAATATCTATTAGTGATGATTCATATCACTTGTTGTGATTAACATTTAGATTTATGCAATTATGTCACCTGAAATAAGGATCCAGTTCTTTGTCAATAATGCAGTTTCATCTGTAAGGTATCAGAGTTTGGTTGTAATTTATAGTTTTTTCAGTGTGGAGTCCTCTCAACACTGTGAACCAAATTAAAGGCTAGTAACTCCATTGCCAGAGTGTTCTAGTTAACTCATTAAACTTAAGAATATAAACTTGTAAAAATGAAGCAAAACACAAGACTCTTCCTCTCCCTCCTCTGCAGGTGATTTACCCAAGCTGTCAAAATATTTAGTAAGGCAATGATTAGATCAAAAGTTGAAATGACAATCTATATGTAGATGATTTAAGTTGGGTCTCTGTTCACTTTTTAATAAACCTTTCCTATATATTTTTTATATTTCCATTTTTATAAATTCTAATATAAGCTCTACTCTGTTTTTGAGTGATTAAATAAGCATTATAAGCATTCTTTGTATCTCAGTTCATTTACCATAAGTTTCAGGTTTTTTTATGGTGACTTCTGTTTCTTTATTGAATAATTGTTGTGTGCTAGGTATTATAATCCTAGAGATAGGCACTACTATTATTACCTTTTATCAAGAATTATTAAAATAATTAGGGCCAAAGAGATTACTTTGTTGTTACCATGAATAAGCAGCAGAACAAGGATACAAACACAGGTCTATAAAATTTCAGAACTCAAGCTTTTTTACTAGCTCTTTAATTCTTTAATATTAGACTAATATGAATGATATAATCGGAGTAACTGAGGAATAGAAAATGATTACCAGAGCTCATTGCAAGGCCTTAAGTTACCGTGGATAGTGTCACTCTCTGTAGCATAAGTCAGGAAGAGAGCTATACGTTTTCTCTAAGTTCTGAATAGTTCTTTTCACTATTCATAGTAGATATTATATATATTCTGTATTGATTCTTTTTAAGTGTTATTACTCTGTTAATTTGAAAAAACAATTTAGACTGACTCATCTCTGTCAGCTTTTGTGACATCCCTCAGACGGAACGTGGAGACCAACATAAATAATGAAGTACGCTATATGATAAAGAATCACCTGTTACTCTGTATATTATATAGTATTCTAATTGTTTTAAAATTGTACAGGTGAAAATCAATGGTAATTGCATTCATAATTTAAATGGAGAGTAAGCTCATAGAAGTTACCAGTGAGCTCTGCTTTAAACTAAATAGCAGAATCAGTTTTTCCTTTATTTGCAATAAAAATACACATATTCAAGTATTTTAAACTGCAGTTCTCAAATGGCACAGTGGCAGCCTTTTGCTTAATGTTTTATTATCTTGTATATTCAGCCCACAACTAGATCCAGGAGCAAATTGAGAAGTTAATTCAACTTTTAATATGACTATACTTTCCTTAAGACAAAAAGAATGATCACTTTGGGCAAAAACATAAAACTAGTCTATAACTTGTTTTAGGATATTTTAATATATTTATTTAAAAGTATTATTGATTTAGTGAACTCATTTTCCTAGGCAGGATTCCTGTTGGTAAAATGTTCAGTTGTTACCTGCTAACTCCTAGCAATCACTGTATCTGTTCTGTTTTGAAAACATAAAAAAACCCCTATTGACCATTTAGGCCAAATATATTTTCACACTGGCCAGGTTTTCTTGAAATATTTTAATTTAATCTTACCAGAAATACTCAATAGACTTTTAAAAATGTGATGTTTATCTAATTGCAGAACAGCTCATCAGCAGGTATTCTTAAGTATACTTGATGTGCTTGAATGTTAATGATTCTGAGGTACAAAATAAAAATGTTCTTTGTCTTTTGAGGAGATAAGTCATATACATTTAATATCACTAGTGAACAAGATAACATTCTGCCAATTACATACTGATATCCTATGTTGCATACTGATACAATGCAAAATATACTGATATTACTTCTGTAAGTATTAAATTGGTTGCTAGAGACAAAAATAATTCAACAAAAACTTATTCAGAATCTTATATGTGCCAATATACAATAAAATATTCTTGTATAGCAAACATGGTAAATGCAAATTAAATTAGAAAAAGGGAAAAATCAGTATAGACTGCACAAAGTATATAAAGCTTGGGCTGAGCCTTGAGGGTGGGCAGGACATTACTCAGAAAAGAGGAACTTGTATCATGTATGTAGGAAGAATGTAGAAACATCATTCCAGGTGATACTTACCTCTTGGTTTATTTTTCTTTCAATGATAGTAGGATGTGAAATGAGTGGTTTTATTGTTACTATTTTTTAATCAGCATATTACAAAAGATGAGGCTTTGGAGAGTAAATGCAAATATAGGAGGAAAATTAGGGAATGAATATTATAAGAGCTTACCTTCTGTTTTTGGATATCTAGAAAATTATGTCTCTCTCAGGGGTGGGGTGGGGGCAAAGTTTTTACTTTTCTAAGACATTTTGTTAAAAAGTTTTAAGATGGTGGAGGTTTTAAGCTACTCAAATAGTAGTTTGCTTTAAGCCTTTTCTTTTCTTTTCTTTTCTTTTTTTTTTTTTTTTAAGAGATAGACTTTTGCTCTGTTACCCAGGCTGAAGTCTAGTGGCTCAATCATGGCTCACTGCAGCCTTGAACTTTTAGGCCTGGTTTAAAAAAATTGTTTTTTGTAAACACAGGATCTTGCTATGATGCCCAGGCTTGTCTCAAATTCTTGGCCTAAAGCAGTCCTACCTCGGACCTTCCGAAATGCTGGGATTATAGTTGTGAGCCATCACACCCAGCCTAAGTGTTTTCTTATTATTAAAATATACTATATATATAGAGAGAGACAGACAGACAGACAGACTGACCGACAGTAGGGCACAGGCAGAGCATAAAGTAATGAAGAGCACAAACTTTGGGATCAGGCCTGCATTAAAATCCTATTCTCTTCCTTACAGCATGACCTTGAACAAGTTACATAATATTCT